GGATGTGTAATTAAATAAAATGATGAGAGGCCTCGATGTTGTTGTTGATTCAGTCATCTAGCGGAGTTTAGATGACGACCACGGACTCTTCTATACAGTCCAGTGGAACGCTGGCAGGCTCGCCGCCTGTAGGTGTTATTGAACTTGGGTGTTCAATTGTTGTACTCTATCCCCCACATGGTTGCCTTATTTGACATAAATTGTTGGGAAACCCCCAAAGCAGTGTTGTCGCCCCGATAAAAAATCCTTAGACTAGGTCCCTTGTGATAGTTGTTTTAGGGACGTAAAGTGAGGATAACGGGAACGGGTAATCGGGTTATTGTTGATTGATGAAATTAATATAATTATTTATTGTGGGTTGAAATCCCTATATGCTCACCAGGATCCCAAGCCTGACCCACTCAGTTTTTCTTTGTATTACAGGTAGTGGCACCAGAGCGTAAGTTGGATGACTTATCAAGATATTTTGGATTATAGGCCAGTAGTTGAAAATAACTGTTGTAAGGCTTATAATGTGCCGTTTATGCTTTTGGTCTGTATCGGAACACGACATTACGAGATTTTGTTATATAATGAAAATACATTTATTTAAAGAAATGTTTTGATAAATTTTTATCATATTTTCTTTTGGGAACAAATTCCGCAACTCTTTTAATCAAAGGATTACTCTGATTTTATTTTAAAAGCATAAATTAAATCGGTTTTTTCTGGCCGTGAAATTGGGGATGTCACGGATTACTTTTCTCCCAAAATAAATAAATAAATGCAATGGAACGAATATTGTTTTTGACAGCTTCAATACCAGCAAAAACATCTATTGAAGGTACTATATCGTATTGCAATGCCAAAAAACTACTTAAGGATTCAAATACTTCTTTTTGATAATATAAAGACAATCAATGGAATATTTAACAAAGTTATTAAGGGTTTACACATTAAAATTGTTCTGGTGTAGTAACTTTCTTTCATTCAGGTAAATTAGGTGGAAATTGATTTGCATTTTGTTTTTATATTGAGCAGAGAAGGCATAGAGAACTTGTATACTCCATTAGGATGGTAGTCTAGCAATAACAATACTAACTTGTATTAGTCTCACATATGATTTAATGATCAATATAAACATGAACTATGGTGATTATACGTTGGAAAACAACAAACTTAAATGTAATCCCAATTATCAAGTCCAATAGACCATTAATTCTTCCTCAACAAGCCCTAGATAAAACTACTTAATACAATTAAATCAATGTATCACCCTTCGAATACACAAATCTGATATGAAGACGTAATGGAACATAATCATAGACAACAAAATCATCTAAAAGTGCAACACAGTGAAGATATTATAAAGTAGATATCAAAATTAGAGAGAATACCTCGAACTGAGCCCATCCCTTTCTCAACTTTGGCCTTCATTTCATGATACGCGTCTGCTTCTTCTTCAATCTCCTTCATCCTCTTCTTCATATCCTCCAAATCCTAAATTAAAAAAAACAAAACAAAAACGAACTTTGGCCTTAAAATCAAGGTTCAACTGTAGTTCACATCCATACAACTAATCCCCAAATAACCAAAAAACGCATAACATAAACATCAGTCTATAAGCATTCAGGTAATTTATGCACAATGAAACTAAAATGAGTCAACAAATAGAGAGGACACGTACCTTTTATATTCGATTTTCTGTATGAATTGTCTCGTTTGTTAATCGACTCAATGGATTTCAGAGAATAATTCGAGAGTCGACGACGCAAGTGTCTGTGTGCAAGAGTCGAGAGTCGAGGATGCATAAATCGACTTTTGAATCCAGCGCCTTTGAATCGAGACAGAGCTACGGCCTATGGAGGTTGGAGACATAAACGAAAGTGGTTTTTCAACCTACAGTGGTAGTAGGTACAATTGGAAAAGAAGGAATCGACGCTAAAGATCATCGTTTGTTCGAAGCGATCCATTGATGCGGTTGAAATTTCGTTTCTAGATCTACCGGATTGATATATCAATGACGGTAATTTGATTACAGATCTACGGTGATAACGACTACTAAATCTTGATTGATTGTGGATCCAATAAGGCGACGTATATCAAAAGGCGTCGATCGCAAATGTGGTTCGTCGACGGAGGTGAGTTCATTGGAAGATGATGGATCGTAGGTTTGAGCGAGAGAGGAAAAAGGGGAGAAGAGAGAGATAGAAAATTTATTTTATCAAATATTAGATTTAAGAACTCATTTAATTATATTTTTATTTCCTATGATACCCATGGCTGAATTAATTAAGATACCTTTCCTTCTTCTTTTTTCTACTTATTTACAAAAACACCACATTGCATCTCGACCTTTCATTTTTATGATCTAACGCTCCACCTTTAGTTTCGGGTTCTCGGAAAACTTTGAGTTCTCAAATGATCCTTCCTATATATATATATATATATATATATATATATATATATATATATATATATATATATATATATAGAGAGAGAGAGAGAGGTAAGTTCAATTGAGAAAATATAAAAGGTTGAGCATGGGGGAATCATTCTCAGCCACTCATTTATTTTTGTCGCAAAAATCTTCATCGTACCGTCGGAAATGGGAAAGGAATACACATGTGTTTTCCAACAAAACATGTTTCCTTAAATTATGCTAATCATTATCTTAATATATACAAAAACATAGTTTTTTTCGTTTTTTTAATTTTTAAGGAGCTGTTTTTATCGAAAAATGATTTTAAATATATCAAAATTCATGATTTTTTATTCTCTATAAATAGACATCCATATTGATATAGTTTTAAGATAAATTAAAATTTTTATTTTTTTTATAGGTTCAGGTATTGTTATTTATAAGTGAATAAAAATCTATCAGATTTTTATTATAGTACATTCGTATTCACTTATTAATAAAAAAATATGATTAATTTTTTTTTACAGTTTAAGTATCATTTATACTACTTATTCATATATGAATAGCAAATTAAATGTAACAAAAATCAGATAAATGTTTTATTCATATATGAATAAAAAAATATGACGACAACTAATACACGTTTTATTCATATATAAATATGATATATGATGAAAAATGATGTAAAAATATATTTTAAGTAAGAAAACTTTATTACGTGTTATATTTATATATGAACGATACACAAACTATAAAAAAAGTTAAGCATACTTTTTATTAATGAGTGAATAACGAATGTACTGTAATAAAAATCTGATGGATTTTTATTCGCTTATGAATAACGAGAGCTGAAACTCTAAAAAAATAAAGTTTTTATTTTTTCTTAAAACTATATCAATATTGATGTCTATTTATAGAGAATAAAAAATTATGAATTTTGATATATTTAAAATAATTTTTCGATAAAATAACTTTCTAAAAATAAAAAAAATAAAAAAAATATGTTTTTGTGTATATTAAGGTAATGATTAGCATAGTTTAAGGAAACATGTTTTGTTGGAAAACACATGTTTATCCGTTATCCATTTCCGCCGGTACGCCTAAGTGTTTTGCGCAAAATAAATGTGTGGCTGTAAATGATTCTCTCATTCTCAACCTTTTTTTTTCTCAATTGAACTATATATATATATATATATATATATATATATATATATATATATATATATATAGATATATATATAAAAGTTCAATAGAGAACCATAATTATTGGTTATTTAAGGAACCAAATCTTTTTTTCAATTTGTAGAGCTTATTCTTTATCGAAAAAAAAATCTAAAAATATCTAAATTCATATATTAACATTGCGAATGTGAAAAATATTTTTCGGATTCACATTGTGAATTTGATGTAAAAAAATTGAATTTGATATCATTGGAAAAATGATAAAAAGTTATAAATTTCTGTATTTTTAGTTTTTTTTTTTTTTTTTGATAAAAAACATGTTTTAAAAGTTGAAAAAAAATTGGTTCATTGGTTAATTATGGTTCTCTATTGAACCTCACCATATATATATATATATATATATATATATATATATCTATATATATATATATATATATATATATATATATATATATATAATGATGTCAATAGTTTAAGAAGGTTATACGTGTAAGTACGGATTATTGTGTGTGTTTGTTATTTGTTTAAATGAAAAACGTGTGGCATGGTTACAACTCATAAAAGTGTGTTGAGGGTTGAAAGGAAGTGGAAGAAACATGGTGGTTAACACGGAAACTTCACATTCTCCATTAGCAAATTGGTCGCCACACGTTTTTCCTTCTTCTCGGTCAAAAGTCAAAACTCAAAACTATTGAAACTTTGCACGTGAACATCCAACTCCATTATGGCATTATCAATCACAATTTATAAGGAAGCATCTTTTTTTGTAAAGCAAATTACGACATTTGTATTGTGTCACTATAACGTGTTATGGAAAACTAGTCAAATCATTCTAAGTGTCGTATACATATATAGACTTAGGTTATTTTGTTTTTATTAACTATTGTATGTCAGAATGCACAGATCTGGACCAACGGATGGAATTAATCAATAGAAATGATTTGAGAGTGTATGATATTACAAAGAGATAACATGTACCATATAATTACACAAATTTTAGCAAAATTGTATTTTCGACAATTAAATACATTTATAAAAGGAAATTTTCGGATTTTTAGGGATAATTAATTCTCCTAATTTTAAAAATCTAAATTTTTTTAATTAGTTCAGTTTTAATTCTAACTTAATTTGTTAACATAACCTATTTTATTCTATCAGAATATTTTTTTTGCTATGATGATGTTCTTTCAGAATTTTATTCTATTAGAATATTATTGAATAACAACAAAATTCTTGAATCTGAGGTTGAAAAATAACAATATTTTAACATATTCTTATACATTTGAACTTAAATACAAATTCATATATATTCTTACAGACTAAAAGCCTTATACATTTTAATATAATTATACATATTCTAAAAGAATATCAACAAAAATGAATAAAATTCTTAAAAAAATAACAACATTCTTAGATTGTGAATATGATCAAACTTTATTCATTTTTTAAGTTATTCCTATTAGGTCTTCAACGCATTCTTCCGGCCATTCCTATCACAAATACAACATAAACTAATAATGGTTAAAAACATGTTACTTGAAATTAACTATCATTTTATATATTCTGGTAGAATACATAGAATATGACAGAATACATAAAATACATTCTGGCAGAATAGATAGATTTTATTCTGGCAGAATACATTCTGACAGAATACATAGAATACATTCAAAAGTATTGTGTTTACTGTTAATATAATTTTAGATTGCAAATATACAATAACGAGGGACAATAGAAATTGGAATTCAAAATCACAAATTGAATCAAAATAATACACAGACAAATTAATTACTTTTTTAAACAATTACATAAAACATGTGTTGCTAGTAATTCTGACAGAATGCATAACACAATGTTAAATTCTTTAGATTCTCTTTCAGACATTTCAACAAACACTTGTTAGGCATTATCATCAAACAACCCAAAATCCTATGAAAAGCTTAGTGTGATCAGAAGCAAAATCAAAAAAACATAAATTTTTTAGAGAACATCAAAGTTTAAGTTTTTCAATACCAAATAAAAACAAAGAAGACGAACCTGAAGAATCATAAATCAACAGGAAGGATAATCGGATGTGGACGAGTGCAAAAGCCTTAACCCTTTCCATCTTACCTGATGTGGACGAGTGCAACGTTAATTTTATATATATTTATTTAGTTGTAACGAAAGAATCTATCTCAATGCTATAACATATGTGGTTTAGGATCTGTGATAAAGAAAAAACGGACGAAGATTAAATTGTTCGTCACTCTTTTTTTAACCATTCTCAAAAGAAATTTGATTGTAAAATCAGAAATTAGGTTCAAAAATTAGAAATTGAGTTCAAGAACATACCATGGCTAGGATGTTGGTGTACGGCGGCAGCTATAGACCGATTTCGGTGATGGAATACGAAGTCGACGAAGGAGAGGGAGGAAGAAGAAGATATGACAGTGGCAAGATGAGGGATACAGAGGTATGTTGATGGTTATAAAGAAGAGATATTAGGTCAACATATATTTATTTTGTTTCCTTAATTGCAACTGCAAAAAACCAGAAATACCCTTCTTGATAAAATTAATTATTTAATTATTTGCTAATTTGTGATTGGTGCATTTAGGAACACAATAGTTGCTAGAAACATTTGAACCTAGCAATATATATATATATATATATATATATATATATATATATATATATTGGGCTAGGTTATAGTGTGAATGGAAATGTATTGTGCGGACGTATGTGGGCTAGATTATATATATATATATATATATATATATATATATATATATATATATATAGAGAGAGAGAGAGAGAGAGAGAGAGAAAGAAAAAAATCAATGGAGAAATAAATTGAGGAAGAAAACCTACAAACTTATTATCTACGATTAATTTAGGTATCAAATTTCACATATACATGTACATACATATATCTAAGAGAATTAACAAAAAATTTGAAAAGAAAATTTATATGCATGTACATATGCATTTTTTTTTAAATGTATACATGCACAAAAAAATATGAATATGCATTAAACATTCATTTTATTGAAAAAATCTTTTGTCAAATCTTAATTTCGAAATATAAGGTATATTTTCACTTATTTGAAAAATAAATTAATTTTTTTTATTTTTGTATAATTTTAAAAAAAAGTTATTTTTTTAATCAGTGAAAATATTTCTTACATTTCGAAAATAATATTTAAAAAAGAATTTTTCAAAAAAATGTATTTTTAATGCATATTCATATTTTTTTGTGTATATGCATATTTTTAAAAAACATGTGCATATGCACATGCATATTTTTAAAAAATATTTTTAATGCCTTTATATGCGTAAGAGTAAACATATACATATACATATGAATAAATATATGCATATGTATATGAATAAGTATATACATATGCATATGCATATGCATAAGGCAATTAGATACATATGACTATTATGTATATGCATATGCATTAGATCAATAACTATATAGCATATGTATATTCATAAGTATATGCATATGCAAATGAATAACTATATGAATATTCATAAGTATATGCATATACATACAAATGAGTATATGCATAATAATAAGTATATGTATATGAATAAGATATGCATAAGAATAAGTATATACATAATAATAAGTATAAGCATATGCATATGCATATGTTATACATAAGAATAAGTATATGCATATTCATATGCATATGAAGTAGGATATGCATATGTATATGCATATGCATATGCATAATATGACATAATATGACATATACATAAGAATAAGTATATCGATATTCAAGTATATGTATATGCATATAAATAAGTATATGCATATGCATATGCATAAGAATAAGTATATTCATATGTATAAGGATAAGTATATATTATGAATATGTATATCAATTTTTTAAAAAATAAAATAAAATAATTTTTTTTAAATAAGTGAAAATATTCTTTACATTTCGAAATTAATATTAAAATACATTTTTTTAATAGACAAGAGAGCACATAATGAGTTTTATATTAGAAATACTTGAATTCGCATCAAATTTGAAGTGTTCTTATGATTTCTCTCGAAAAATATAAGTAGTGTGCCTATAATTAAAAATGAAAATGAAAATGAACTAATCAATTGAAATATTAAATTTTAGAGAAAGCTTTCCTCAACTATAATAAAATCATCTTTGAAGAAAACCTATGATAATCTTTGAGAAAATAGGTTGTTGTATACTCCACCGATTATGCCAAAAAAGTGTCAACTTTGGAGCCAATTGTAACATCCCGATGATAAGGTATGAAATTATTTCCGAATTGTGCATGATTCCTTTTTGTTCACGGTGTGGTGAAGCCTCACCACGGAGTGGCGATAAGCCTTTGGACCGCGGAGTTTAATGGGCCACCACGGTGTGGTGGTGTTGTACCACAGCGTGGTGGCGGCTGATGGAGAAAATCCTAAAGTTTAAGGGTTGAGCCCTATTTAAGGATCCTTAACCCCCTCATAGCCTCCCTCACATCAACCTCCATTCCCCCAAATCGTTCCTTGCAAACCCTAATCATCTTTCTCCATTTTTGAGCTAGTTTGGTGTTTTTTGAAGCTAAAGAAAGAAGAAGGATGAGGAAAGAAGCAAAGATCAAGCAAGCAAGTCCCCATTCTTCACATTGTCACTCTTCTGGACCTTTGTAAATGTCCAAGACTCGATTTTTATCATTCCAAGTTGTTAGATCTAGAGTTTTGTTCCTTTAGTTTCTTGTTCTTGAATGTTGAAATGGTTAGGCCCCATAAAGTTTTCAACTTTATGAATCTCCGTGGTCAAGGTGATCTAGTAGTGTTTTGGATCTGGACTATAATCAAGTCTTGATGTCATGCATAGAGATTAGGTCATAAATCCTCATTTTGACCTAATATGGGCTCAAGACATGCATTAGGCATGTATGTCTCTATAAAGCAACAACCTTTGGGATGGTTTAGGTGTTAGAATCACTTCTGGAAAGGATGGACTTCGAAATTTAATGATTAAGTGCTTATTGGTTAAGCCATTGCTTTATTAAGCTTTATGGTTTGGGTTTTGGACCTTTTTGGGTAGTCCCAATGGATAAAGTTGGAAACTTTGTCTTTTTAGATCGCATTTTGGTCTAGATATGAGCTTTAGAGCTCTTGGAGTCGGAGAAAGCAGCTGAATGTATTAAGATGTTGAAACTCAGGCAACCACGGCATGGTTGCAAGTCAACACGGCGTGTTGGCTGGGGTTTTTCCCGACTGATTGGATGATGGCGGAACACGGCGTGGCCAAGGGGCAACACGACGTGTTAGGTCAACATGGACTGTTGACTTTGACTTTTGACTTTGACTTTGACCAAGTTTGACCTAAGGGTATTTGAGGTATTTCGAGTTGTCTCTAAGGATTTGTCACTATTTGATGAATAGGTGACGGGTAGAGCTGATATTCGAAGTCGGGACCTATTCAGCTATTGTTCAGATTCAGAGGTAAGTTTTCCTCACTGTACTTGCAGGTCGAAGGCACCAAGGCCGACCCTTTGGATTTCATATCATGGTATGTGATAGTATATTATCGAGTTGTAGTGATCTTTTAGATCGGTATCCTGGTATATAGGATCTTGATATGCTTAGTGATCAGTAGATCTGCCTGTTCTTCTGTTGGTTGATTATATGTTTATCTGTTATGTATATGTGCACATATTTGGTTGGTAGTTGAGGCTTTACTGCATTGTGCGTGAGCGAACAAGTCGGGGGCATTCCAACCCGATGGTTAATTGGGCCCGAGGGAATTCCATCCCGAGGATGACAGGACCCGTTGTAGATTGGCATTCCAACCCGATGGTTGACGGGCCTGGGGTATTCCAACTCGATGGTTGATTGGACCCGACATGTTGTTATTGTATATGTTATTTGTTTGTGTGATGGTACTTTGGGGGATCTCACTAAGCGTTGGCTTACAGTTTTGGGTTATGTTTCAGGTACTTCAGATGACCGTGGGACGGCAAATGCGTGACCGTACACATCCTCTTGTTTGACTTATGATTTTGGGAGACTCTGATGTTGAAAATGTTTTGAAAACTATTATTGTAAACAATTGGTGAATTTGGGTTGGTTTTAAACAAAAATTAAATTTCTTGTGACTTTTATGGGTGTTACAAGTTCGTATCAAAGCCTTGGTTTGAGTGAATTGGAGGAACACTCGTGTGAATCCAGTCTCAAACTAAGGAAAAAGATTTTAAAAATGTTTTTCAAATTGTTTTCAAAGTAATCAAGGAGGGTGTGATGTGTATGATCAGTCGGAGCCAGTAAGTAGACCCGAAATTATCACACTGTTATTTTGATCTTGTGATATGTTAGAACAACATGCTAGTGATAGGCTAGGGATCTTCAGGAATTGCATGATAAAATTGCCTGATTATATGTTGCTTGATAGCCTAGGGTTCTTCTTTATATGGAATTGACATCATTAGTGTAGTTGCTTTATGTATACATTATAGTTGTACATAACTAAGATTTTATAGCATGAGAATGTTTGGTTTGGCCTTATTTCCTATTCTTGTTGGATGAAGGGATTAGGGTAGGATCAGATATTCGACTGTTTATAGTGTCCAGTGTTATGTATGATTAGCATACACGAGTGTTGCTGGGTTGGTGGAAGTTTCATGGATGAGTTGTGTGGGGCCAGCCGACCAGTTTCGTGATGTTTAGCCTTCCTCTAGGGAGTGAGGATTGAGTGTATGCGTATTCTGGTGTGTATTTTTAGGGTTGTTGTGATGATCCTTGAGACAAATACGGGTATGTGTGGAAGGTAGTATGGGCATGTACTACTTGAAGCACAAGACTCGTACGCGTAACAAGGAAGTCATAACCCCTAGGGTTTTGTTGGGATTTGGTTCCCCTGGTATGATATGTGTTTTATCTGATCTCTCTCTGGTTTATTTTCAGTATGGTGACAATGAGATGATTTGGGACAGGATCCAAATAGGGATCGGGAACTGGTAGCCAGGATGGGCCAGCTGTGTCCGAGGACATTATTAGGTAGGACGAGGTTGTTGCTCACTTTCAAGCATAGTTGCAAGAGATGTTTGGGTCTATTAAGACCGCCATGGTGGAGTAATTTGACGAGCGTTATGCTACATTGTCAGAGGTTGTTGTTGTTGCTGCCACCACAGCCGTTGTGGCTGCTAGGATTGGTGTTGGGAGAGCCTTTCAGTATCGGGACTTCGACAATACAAAGCCCCTGACTTTTGACAGGGTTTAGGATCCGATCATAGCCATGAGGTGGTTGTCTACATTGAGGGATGCTTTGTCACTTGCTCTTGCCCAGCTGACCAGAGGGTGCGGTGCGCTCTGAACCTTCTTAGGTCTGGAGCGAAGGATTGGTGGAGGCTTGTTAGCAGCTCGTATTCTCCTTAGCAGAGGACTATAGTGACTTGGGAGTAGTTTTGTTAGATTTTGCTACTTCTAAGCAAGCTCAGATGACACGTTACTTCAGTATGCTCAAGACAGACATCAGGAAGTTTGTATCCACTCAACGTTATGGTTCATAGTTGGAGTTACAGGAGGCCGCCAGGCGGCGTGAGATTAAGATGGAGCTCCAGACGAGTGAGCAGAGACCGGCCCCGATGCAGTCACAGCCTGCACTGAAGCGGTTCAGGGCCGATGATACTAGATCGGGGAGTCAGAGAGGCCGCACTTGTGGAAAGTACGGTAAAGTTCAATATGGAGCTTGTAGATCTTCTTCGGGATGCCAAAAGTGTGGCAATCAGGGCCACATTGCGAGGGACTGCCGGCAGCTGGCTTAAGCATCTGTCATCAGACTTTGTTATCATTGTGATCAGGTGGGCCATATGAAGGCCCAATGCCCCTTGCTTGCTGACAGGTCAGTGCAGGCTCTATCTCCGGCTACTTTGAGGATCACATATGGGAGTCAAGGTAGAGCGGAGCCCCTGAGGGGTCAAGGTCGCGCTTTCCAGGCCCGGTCGGCAACAGACGTCGTGACCGGTATGTTTTCTATTTATTATTCTGTTTATTATGTTTTGTTATGCTCATGTATATGCTCCTATTAGGTACGTTCTTAGTGAATTCTTTGTCTGCTCTTGTGTTATTTGAATCGGGCGCGAGTCGGTCCTTTGTATCTCGATCATTCAGTAGGGAGTTTAGTATGCCTATTAGGGAGTTAGAGTGTCCGTTGTGGGTTTCTATTGCCAACAAACACGAGGTTTCTGCATCCATAGTGTTTCAGGGTTGTATACCGGAGATCTTCCGGGTGCCTAATCTGATTGATCTGATCCTTATCCCTATGGGGGGTGTGTGTGTAATAGTGGGTATGGACTTGTTGAGCAGGTTTGGTGCCATGATTGATTTCGAGGGGCCGAGGGCCAGCTAGTGGTAGTTCGAACCCCAAGTGGGGGAGAACTAGTTATCTATGAGGAGGGCACCAGGGTTGGTTCAGGGTTTTGTTCAGCATCCAGGGCTATATTCAGCATGGGTGTGCAGGTTATTTGGCTTATGTGGTTGATACTCGAATTGGGGATCAGATTTCAGTTTCAGAGGTTCCAGTTGTCATGGAGTTTGTTGATGTGTTCCCAGAGGAGTTACCCGGTGTGCCTCCTGAGAGGCGGGTTGAGTTCAGGATTGACCTCGTGCCAGGTGTGGCCCCAATTGCCAAGGCGTCGTACCGCTTGGCACCGCCTGAGATGTAGGAGTTGTCATCTTAGTTGCAGGAGCTGCTAGGAAAACAGTTAATCAGACCGAGCTGTTCTCCGTGGGGAGCATCAATACTGTTCGTCAAGAAGAATGATGGTTACACCGGACGTGCATTGATAACCGGGAGTTGAACAAGTTAACGGTGAAGAACCATTATCCCCTTCTGCGGATTGATGACCTCTTTGATCAGTTTCAGGATCAGGGTGGATCTTGGTTCTCCAAGATAGATCTGAGGTTTGGGTATCATCAGGTGAGAGTGAAAGAGGATGACATGGAGAAGACCGCGTTCCAGACTCGTTATGGGTATTACGAGTTCTTGGTGATGCCATTTGGGCTCACTAATGCGTCTGTTGTGTTTATGGATTTGATGAATCAGGTATGCAGATGCTCTACCGACCCGTCATTGTTTCTACTGATGATATCTTGGTGTATTCCAAGACCAGAGAGCAGCATAAGGAGCACCTTCAAGAGCTTTTGGGGGTTTTGAGGCGAGAACGTCTTTATGCCAAGTTCTCAAAGTGCGAGTTCTGGTTACAAGAAGTTCACTTCCTTGGGAACCTCATTAACCAGGAT